TAGCAATTTGTGTGCAATACCACTGACTAATAAGATTTGTTACACAATGAGCAGGGAATATTTTTATGGCTGATAAACAATTATGTGATAAAACTAAATCGCTAAGTAAATGATCGCTTTTATATTCATGATAAATAGCTGTTGTTTTCATATTTAATGCATTATTGTCATTAAAAATCATTTGTACAGTGCAAAATGCACTTTTACAGCTATGATAAAATTTATCTATGTAAATAAATATTGCAAATTATTATAGCAATTAATATTATTTGTAAATTTTAATAATTAAAATCAAAAATATTGTGTATCATTATTAAGTTTATATTAAATTATTGTAATAAGATTTAAAATTGGATATTTATTACATACAAAGTTTTGTACTTTTAAAACAAAATAAACATGTTATGCATAAATTGATAAATCATATATTTCCCTGATCAGTGGTTCATAATAATGTGAATAATATTTGAATAAATAAATATTTTAAAATTTTATTAAAATTGTAATTTATAGGTTTTTATAACATTTCTTACAATTACTTTAAAGTGGTTTTAAATTCTAATTTAAATATAAATTTATTATAATAAATTAAATATTATTCAGATGTTGGTAGATCATATACCTCCCTGATTAGTGGCCCATAGCGTTGTGGATAATTTGTAAATTCTTCGCGATTAGCATCTTTTTGTAATTCAGCTATTTTGTAGATATGGGGAAAAGTTGTCATTAGTTGACATAACCTTTCTTGAGAATCATATTCTGATCGACACTTCAATAGTAAATATCTTTGGAGTAAATAAATATACAATTGCTGTTCCAGTCTATTATGTAAATAGAAAAAAGTAGTTACTAAATTAAATATTATGTTGCTAATACAGTACAGTAATAGCAAGTATTGTTACAATACCTAATATTATGTCTATGTTTAAGGTTGGGACGATTCGGGTTAAATAGTACTATGGAATTAAGCTAGAAATATAAAATATACATTACAACAGATTCTGTAATTACAAAAGTAAATGTATCAATACCAATTCCAGTATTATACAATCCAGGTTCAATTGGGGTAAAATGTTGTCCACGTACTCTACGAATGAACTTTGGAATAACAAATATGACCTAACTACTACATTTTTAAATATATCTAAATTGAAAATAATTGATGTGTCGCTGCCCTAAAAGAGATTATATTTAAATAAAGCAACAAAATAGCATACAATTCACTTTAAAACGAATTACCACGTTAAATTTAAAATATTTCTTATGATGATAGTAACAAGGCAAAAGGCATCTAATAACATACATCTCAGGGCACCCGTACTTAAAAAGTGTATACTTGTCCTCGGAGCAGATACTATTAAATCCATTTAACCCTTTACTAAAGTTTAGCAATTGTTGAACACATTTTTCAAATTTTCTATTTGAAAATTTGTAGTAATCTATTATATGTTTAATATGCAATATGTTTTTGCTAGGCTCGTAATCAAAAATTTTAGATGCACCCAACAACTCGGTCATTTTA